CCCGAGCTGGGCAAACCGCGGCAGAGCCCCCTGGCCTACGAGGACCACGCGGCGCCTTTCGCCAGCCACTTGCCACGCGGCTCGCCGGTGACCACGCGGGAGCCCACGCCGCGCCTGCAGGAGGGTGAGTGGGTGGGGCGGGGCTTGCAGCCTCCCAGCGTAGGGTCAGCCTGGCGTCCTCGAGACCTCGCTCTCCACCTGCATACCCTCTGCCTGGCCGTGGGCGCCGCCTCCGGCTCAGAACTCCCTTCTTCCAACTCCCACTATGCCCCAGACCACCAGGATTTTGCAGCTTTGCTGACCTTCTCCTGTCCCGCTGTTACCTGGTCTACACACAGCAACCCTGACGCTTCATTTGAAAATGTAGGTCAGGCCCGTGCGGCAGCTCACGCCTGTCTCCCAGCACTTTGGGAGGCTGAGGCAGGAGGATTGTGGGAGCCTAAAGCTCAAAACCAGCCCGGGCAACATAAAAAAATGGAAAACCTAGCCAGGTGTGGTGGCTGAGGCTGGAGGATCACCTGAGCCCAGGAGGTCGAGGCTGCAGTGAGCTGTAATCACACCACTGCACTCTAAGTGGCCTGGGTGACAGAATGAGATCCCGTCTCTGTAAGATATTTTTTAAGAATTAAAAATGTGCTGGGCATGGTGGCTCAAGTCTGTAGTCCCAGCGCTTTGGGAGGCCGAGGTGAGAGGATTGCCTGAGCCCGGGGGCTTGAGTCCACCCAGGACAACTTGGTGAGACCTCGTCTCTACAATAAGTCACAAAAACTAGCCGGGCGTGGTGGCGTGCATTTGTAGTTCTGTCTACTTGGAAGACTGAGGCAGAAGGATCTCCTGAGCCCAGCAGTTCGAGGCTGTGGTGGCCGTGAGCGTGCCACTGCACTCTAGCCTGGGGGACAGAGTGACACTGACTCAAAAAAGAAAAATAGAAATGTGAACCAAGTTATCCCACTTCCCTCCTCCCAAGAACTGTACACTGCACTCAGGGAATAATCAGACTCTCCTGCCACAGCCTGGGGCCCCACCCACCTCTCCCTCTGTCAGATCCTTGGCCCTCCCCAGGCTCCTCCTCCGGCCTCTTCCCGCCCTCCGGCTGAGCTGTGTGCACTGTCTGTGGTGTCCCTGGCTTACCTTGTTCCTTCCCATCCTCGGGCCTCTGTTCCAGCATCACACCCTGGGGAGGCTCTTGCGGCCAGCCCCCTTCTGATGCTGTCACATGCTGTGACGTTTAGGCGCTTCTTTTGGCGTGTCTTTCCCTCTGAAGCGCCTGTTTGTTGACTGTCTCCCGCTCTGTCAGCTGTGTGGGCACCAGGGTCTCTGTCTTGTTCTCCAGGTGACCCCAGCCCTCACAGCCTGTTTAGCCCACAGTAGAGGCTGCATAGGTGTGTTTGATTGAATGAATGAATGCAGGAGCTGGCAAGCAAATGAAAGGATGCATGGGCTTTCTGTAAAAGGGTTTTAAAGTTAAAAAAGAAAACGGAGGAGGCAGGGAATGCATGAGTGCGAGTGAGTGGGGAGGCTGGTCCTCGGCCCCGGGCCCCGCTCTTGTGGCTCCCAGAAGGCCGAGTCCTGGTGTCCCCGCCCGGGGGCACTGGGACGGCGTCCCGATGCCACCCTGGCTGTCCCCGCAGGCAGCCTCTCGTCCAGCAAGGCGTCGCAGGACCGCAAGCTGGCGTCCACGCCCCGGGAGGTCGCCAAGTCCCCACAGAGCACGATGCCCGAGCTCCACCCACATCCCCTGTCGCCCTATGAGCACCTGCTGCGGGGCGTGAGCGGCGTGGACCTGTACCGCGGCCACATCCCCCTGGCCTTCGACCCTGCCGCCATCCCCCGCGGGATCCCCCTGGATGCAGGTGACTGCCCCGGCCCCACCCCGC